AAATTTTTCAATTTAAAAAAAAAAATATTTGGTGAAATTTCACTACGCTCGATTTCTACTGTTTAGATGTGGTTAACGACTTTTACTTCCTTGCCGAATTTGAAGTCGATGACTACATATTTGAGACACCTAGGACGTTTTAGAATATAGCACAGAATATTCCGAACACCCTGTACAATATATGAAAACCTTAAATACAAAAGGTGTAGCTGTCCATACGGGCTATATAGGAATGAAAAAGAAACTGATAACGGAATCACAGCCTTCTAGTTATGGTCAATTATCAATATAAAGGGAGCACAATTTTCAGTTTTTGAAAATTACTGACGCACCCTGTACATTTTTAAAAAATTATCAAGAATAAAGATTTTTAGCCCAGATCTTGCGTGTTGTTTGATTAAAGAATTTTTGTTTTGATCGCACACACACGTCGGACACAATTTTAAATCACTGCATCGTCTTCAGCGCACCTCATAACCCCCGGAACGACCTTCAAATTCGAATTGTTACCAATTAATGCTTTGAAAATGGCTTCCTGCTAAAAAGATAAGTCGGAAACAATTTTAAAGAATTGCATCGTCTTCAGCGCACCTCAAAACCCCCAGAACCACCTTCAAATTCCAATTATTACGCATTAATGCTCTGAAGATAGCTTCCTGCTAAAACGAAACGTCGGACACAATTTTAAATCATTGCATCGTCTTCAGCGCATCTGAAAACCCCCGGAATTTCCTTAAAAATCTTAAAATATTTTACGTTTCGATACTGTTGTCATTAACGACGTTATTCCAACGAAAATCTATAATGTAATGAGACTTCGGCGACATGCATAGATTACTATTTATAGTCAAACGCATAGACCAATAGGATTAAAGCTTAATAAAATTGCATGTATAATCGCTGAACCAATCAAAATAAATAAACAAATAAATCTCATAGCCTACTCTTGAATTAGAAACATTATTCTCAGAATATTTACATTTCCAGTGTTTTTTTAAAATGCTTACTCCAAGAGGGTTGAAATTTTTTTTTAAGAAGGAGGTCAATAAGGTCTATTCGCAGATACTATAAAATCCCCCCAACCCCCCCATTTTCAGTTAATATTTTCGATTTATAGTTTTGATGTTCGTCATAATTTTCCCTAAAAATTTAGATTTTTAATTTTTTGAAATACTTACGTTGCCCCGAGATGGTTGAAATTTTTTTATCGAAGATGGAGGTCAATGAGGTCTATTCACAGATACCATAAAGCTACCCCAGCCCCCTCCATTTAAATATTATTAATTATTTTTTAAAAATTTGCAACCTCCCACATAAACCACTGCCGACGGCAAACGGTGTAACTGGTGGGAATCTTTTTGGTATCATTAAATAGACTAAGGACCAAAGTATTTAACATATACTCAATGTCTCAAAGTTATAAATAACATTACATTTTTAATTTTTTTTAAATACCTACGTTGCTCCGAGAAGGTTGAAATTTTTACGGAAGATGAAAGTCAATAAGGTCAATCCGCAGATATAAAGTTCCCCTCAGCCACTTCCATTCCACTTCCATGTGATTAATTATTTTTTAAAAATTTTCAGCCTGCCACAAAAAACGCTCCCCACGATAAACAATTAAACGTGGGTAAGTCTTTTTGGTATGGTCGGATAGAGGAAAGACCAAGGTATATAACGTACGAACTTCAAATTCTCAAAATTATAAATATTACACTTTCAAAATTAACCTTGATTTTCGAGCCGATTTTTCAGCCCCAAACGCGATTTCGAGGTGACTTCCCAAAAGTGGGTAAAATTCATTCTGCATTGGGGGGTTTTCGAGGACGAGAAAACCGTTTCCGACGGCAAAAATTTATAACTTGTGTGAATCTCTTTGGTATCATTGGATAGAGGAAGGACCAAAGCATTTAACATATAAATTTCAATTTCTCAAAATTATTAATAAATAATATATAAAACGTTAAATATTGATCATTGATATTTAAACTGTTGTTTCTATTTAAAATAAGATTTTATGGTTATTTCTCAACTTATATTGATCGGAGAAGGTTGAAATTTTTACAGAAGATGCACATCAACGTAATCTATTGGCACATACTATAATGTCAATGTCATTTACGGTTAATACTCCCGATTTATTATTTTCATGTTTATCATGTTCGTCCTCTTAAATTTCAGATTTTTAATTTTTTAAAATATCTACGTTTTTCCAAAAAGATTGAAATTTGTATCGATGTTAGAGGTCGATGAGGTCTATTCACAAATACTATAAAATAAGCCTCCAACGTTCTCCATCATTAGTTAATATTCTCAAGTTATAATATTCTTGGATATTATGATGCTAATCAAAAATTCCCGCTTTCATTTTTTTAAAAAAACTACGTTTCTTCGAAAAGATTAAAATTTTTAATGAAGGTGAAAGTCAATGAGATTTATAAATAAAAATTGTAAATAATAATTAATATAATTTTATAAAAAATTGCAGTCTCCGACAAAAACCGTACCCGACAAAAAAACATACAACTTGTATAAGATCTTTTGGTATCATTAAATAGAGGAGGGGCTATAGTATATAACGTATGAATTTCAAATTCCTAAATTTATAAATAACCGAAATATAAAATATTTTATCAAAAAAATCCGCTTTTTGCCAATTGTCCCCCGGAAATACTAAGGAATTTATAATTAAACAACCGACCAATTTTTTTTTAATACCCCCCAACCCCCTATCTTGGTGGCAAATTTCAGCTGGATCGGTTAATATTGACCTCCATCCAAAATATTCATGAGCACTTGGTCGTTATTTTTTTTTAGGTCTATCCGCATATACTATAAAATCCACCCCAACCCTCTCCATTTACTTGCAATTATTTTATAAAAATTTTTAGCCTCCCACAGAAACCGTTCCCGACGGCTAACGGTACATATTGTGTGAGACTTTTTGGTATGGTTGGTTAAAGGAAGGACCAAGGTACATAACGTATATATTTCAATTTCTCACAGTTTGAAATAAGCGAGATATATAATGTGATCTCGAGGTAATATCCCAAAGGCTTGCCAAATTTTGCCTAAAGGGGTTTCTGAGGATGAGAAATCCCAATCACAAACTACTCTTTGAAAATGTTGACATTGAAATATTTCATGCACCTTGTATAATAGACGAAAGCTCTAAATCCGAAAATTGTAGCTCTCGGTACAGTTTATAATACGTTTTAATCCAAAATTTCCTGTATTTTACAGTTTTTCATTTAGAGCTAATATTTTACACAGGAAAACGGCAATTTTCAGGTTATTTTAAATATTTACCCATAACCGAAACACCCCGTACATAATCGACAAAATTACAGAAATAGGGATTAAAGCCCTGTATCTCCCACGTTTCCTGGTAGATGAAGTTAACCAATATTTCAAATGGTTTTCGAGAAAATAATGTTTATCTGAAACAATGCAGCACACAGCACGTGGTAATAGTGACGTCATCGCTTCTATATTAAGTGCTGTTTTCAAATGTATTTTTCCAAATATGCAGCACACAGCACGTGGTAATAGTGACGTCATCGATTCTATATTGAGCGCTGTTTTCAAATGGATTTTTCCAAATATCTGGTGCAGCGTGTGTGATAGAAGAAAACCGTAAATACAAAAATTGTAGCCCTCGATGGGGCCTATAACACTGTTTAAACGAATTGGCCATATTTTTCACGAATTTTGATTTACGGCTAAGAATGTACTCTGGAAATGGACAATTTTCAGAGTCTTTAAGATTTTATGTATATATATAATATAATGAAAAAACTCTCCATATAATCGAAAAAATGCGTGAAATAAAGGTTATAGTTCAAGAATTTTGTCGATCGGGTAAAGCGTTTTCGCGAAATGAATTTTTTTATGCAGCCCAAAATGACGACAAAAAATTTTTCAAAATTATCTGCCGACGTCCGATTGTGCCTAGTTTCAAGAATTTTGTGCGGGAGTGGACTTCCACCAACCTGCTAAATTTGAAGTCAATAGCTGCAAATTCCAGGCACTTGTTGCTTTTTCCAAAATAACACCAAATATCTCGAACACCCTGTACAATATGGGAAAACTTTAAATACAAGAGTTTTAGTATTCTCTATGGGTTAAACTTATGTGTAAAAGAAACTGTCGACAGAATAATAGCTTTTCGCTTATAGCCAATTTTGTTTCCAAAAATCGGTCGAAAGTTGAAAAAAAAGATGTCCGCTGATGTTGATGCAATTTTCATATATTCTTTGCATCTAGTAGACGTTGGAAAAGGAGCAAAATTTGAACTGTCTAGCTGTTCGGAAATTATCGTCGAAAAAGTCCTGAATCAGAGAAACGGAGAACTGACAAACAGGCAAAAAAAAATTTTTTTTCGACCCTGATTTGTTCTGTACCAGCGGCGGACCCATAGGACCAACCGTTACCGAGATCTTTAAAAAATTGACTGGCGCGTATACTTTCGCAACAAATGACTTTCATTCATTTTGCGGAAGTAACAAGGAATCACCTCTTAGATCTTTCGCATTTGTTTTGAGACACCATGTATGAAACTTTCGTTAGATCGCGGCAGGAACGGGAGCGTGGAACACAACAACTAAACCGCTTTTAAGAACAACAGAAAGGCGAACACTAAGATCAATAATAGGATATATGTAATTTGACCCGAAAAGAAGTCAAGCAATAAGGGAAGTGTGTGAGACGCAAGATGTAGTATGATAGCCATGTAGACAGAATGCCAAAAAATATTTAATAATTCGTTAAGATAGTAAAAGAGGAAAAACCAAATTCACTTCGACCATCCAACGGTATTCAGCATCCTACTGCTCCTGGGAAACCATTGAGGGAAACACAGGACTAACGTAAGAAGGAAAGTATTAAAAAATGGCCTGAAGTTTTGCATGAAATCGATCTCGCCGTTGGTTTATGATATTTTATACTTTAACTAAAAGCAAACCGATAATTGTAAGCTTGAAAAATATCTTTTATTTCAGCTGGCGATTCGATATTGAGCGAGCCTGCTGTGGAACTACGGCAGGAAAAGTACGAGATCCACATCGAAAAATCGAATGCTGGTCTCGGTCTTTCAATAGCCGGAGGGCGCGGATCAACCCCGTTTAAAGGCGACGACGAAGGCATCTTCATCTCTCGAATAACCGATGCCGGTCCAGCCGATTTGGCGGGCCTCAAAGTTGGCGATAAGGTGCTCAAAGTAAACGGGGTCGACGTCACTGACGTGTCCCATTACGATGCAGTTGAAATTCTGAAGGCTTCAGGAAACGTGTTGATCTTGGAGGTAAATTATAAAAACATTTCGGAGTCTTTAATAATTAATATTAAATAATTAAAGTTAAGTGCTTTTAAATTTTAGTTCCTAGTCTTAACTTTCAATATATTTTTTTCAAGTATTGAATATAACTCAAATTTAGGGATGTTGTATAAGTAAATTTCGATATATAAAACTATTGAATGGCACTTACCGGAAGTGAGATCAACATTATTCTTTTAACTGAAACATTTTGTATAGTTTTTCATTTTTGCATTTTACGAACAAAACCAAGTAGGAAGCGGTCTTTATCATTTTTCCGTAGTTCTAATAGTTTTGGACATAACAGAGTTCGAAAATTTCAACGTATAATTTTTCCTCAGTCAGTTTAAATAAGAAAAAAAAATATTTCGACCCAAAAATTAACAGAATATTGTTTTTATAGAAATCCATTTGATAAAAATGGTACTTTGAAAAACAATTCTTTTTTCGGATGATTGTCACTTTACGAATCTTGCAATGTTTAGCAGAAATAATTCAAGGAACAATTTATATTTAACGAGTATACGTCTGCCTCTAGGTTTTAGGTAATCCTTTTAAAGGCCAATTTTTTTTCGATAGCCTCCCTCAAATGTGTCTGGAATTAATTCAAGAAAATATCTTTTGTTGAAAATTTAGCTCTTGACAACAAAAAGTATATAAACGCCACCCCAAAAGGAGGTCGATCTTATAAATAAAATTCATGAGGCAATAAAAAATGGAAAATTGTTTTTGAGAATTCGAAGATTGCATTATTTTGTATTTAAATTCCAAGGGTTATTTTGAAAATTTAATTTATTAATTGTTCGGTGACAATACACACTGCGATTTTATTGGCTGGATTTTAAATATGTATTTAACACTCGGTTCCCTACGGTTCGAATTATTTTTAATTGAAGATAAAAATTGGACTTTTAGAGAGTTTCCACTGGAAATTTTTGTCGAAAGTCCAATTTTTTCACTATGATTTAATGATTTTTTTAAAGTGTATCTGTCAATTTTTTGGTTAACATTTTTTTTTATTTAAATTGAATGAAAGATGAAAATAAAACTATTAGAGCTATCGAAAAAAGATTAACAACATTTTCTACTTGGATTTAATCGCAGACTATATATGAGCATTCCCTAAAGAAATGAATTCAAACTTTTTTTTTCCACTCCCGTCTGTAAAAAACCTAATTACACACCGATCTAGCGTGCGGGAACCGTCACTTTACTACGTCAGTTACGTTTCGCACGCATCCGAGCCACTTCGGAAATTTCCGGGATTTTACAGCACCCTTCGAATTTTGACGTTTGTCAATTCTGATGGTCATGTCAGTGTTGTTTTGCGAAAATGTACCCAAAAACTAACAGTCGTAGAAAAATTATAGTATACAACACGTTCGGAAAACTTTTTATTATTATTTTTTAACATTTATTTTTTATTAAACACTCGCTCCGCTGCGCTCCGCACTTGTTGCATAATGTACTATTATTTCTCCATCTATATACTGACTATTATTGAAGGAAATCTAGTATAGTGGTCCAATAATTAGTTCATTAATACTGCGTATTGAGTTATTTAGCAGTAATAATTATCAAACCCTACGAAATAATATACAGCAACTTTGTACAACATATACGTTGTGTTTTAGAAAATTCTAAAATCCCCGTACCTGTGTTTTTAAATATGTCAACTACATATGTTGTAAGAATATGACTTTACTTTTTAAGAAGAAAAGCGCCACCTTTGTAATAGTCAGAGGTAGAAATCAGTTACTAGCAGAAATCAAAAATATTGAAGATGGATTACCGCAGGACAGTAATTGGTCAATATTGTTTCTTTTTATGTTAACATACACATCACTAATTAATTAAAATAATTTTTATTTATTAAATCCAAACTGATGATAGAATTGTTTTGCTTGTAAATAAAGACACTGCAAAATTTAATCATAGCTGCAATCTTCATAAAAGAATGTGTACCGAGATGTATACTGTTCTTTTTTAAAAATAGACGCCTTATTGAATATAGTGACTCTTACGAAGTGTACAACACAATAACTATTGAGTATGCATATACACAGATACACAATATAAAAACAAACTATTAAACAAAGTTAAATAGTGAAATTTTTAATTTTACTAGTAGAAATAGAGCTATATAGCGGAGACGTATATTAAAGATTTATTCAAAATATTTAGGATTGATACATGACACTATTTCAATGTAATTATTTTGGAATGAAGATAAACTACTACTATTAGCATTATTGTTAAATAGGTGTAAGAAAATCTTATACAAAAATAATCACAAACCGATGGGGGAGCTTAAAATGCAATGATGTATCTTTTTTATTAAACTTTTTTTATTAGAGTTTGTCAAAAACATTTTGTGCCAAATAAACAATTTAATTTCCAATATAACTTTAATAAGCAGATTTTTTAAAGATTTACCAACTATTTCGGGAAGTTTGTTGGGGTGAACTATTTACACATCGAAATGTAGAACCTGCTGTTAACAAATTTTACGAATTTATAACTGAAATTTTAAATGCCTTCCTCTTGAAACGTAAACATTTTATTTTATTAGAAGCTTATCTAGTTGCGTGTAAAACCAAACAGGATATAAAAAATGCACACAAATTTTATCTTCAACAGATAGAGAAGCAATGACAGCAAGGCTCAAGCTTTTTAAACGTCTACGCTAAAAATAAAGCCAAATACATGGTGTCCATTTTGGACAAATTTGTTTCAAACAGTACATATACCTGAAAGCTTAACAAATCTATTTTGTATAATAAAATTTTAGTCCATCTCAGCTCCTTAGCGCAAAGCAACAGATTTTAGTGACGATTTTTAGTGAGATGTCAAATAGACTGTTGAAACATTTCTTCTGGATCCTCCTGCGTCGGTTGTTAATGAACTGAACTTGCTGCCGTTTCGTCAATCATCCTGTTGGCTTCTTCAGAGCTTAATTGAAACTAGAGTTTCTGCTTTTGCAGCTTGATGTCCTCTTCATAAAGGCTTGTTCATTTTTTAAAGAAACTTCCCATGGGCTACTATAATGAAGCAGTTTCAGTTAAGCTCTGAAGAAATCAACAGGATGATTGGCGAAACGTCAGCAAGTTCAGTTCATCATCAACCGATGCAGGAGGAATTCAGTAATAAGTGGTCTGCAAACAGCAGCCTGTGGAAGCTTCTGTAAAAAAAGAAATAATTTGTCGTTTGCAAGGGAACAGAATCCAAGGATTTCTTGACAACATATGGTGTGCCGCCGGGATCAAATCTTGGACCACTTTTCTTTTTATTACTGATAAACGATTTGCTAGGTTTAGTGTGCACAATTTGGCGATGAATTTTAACTATATTTAGAAGTAAAGACTACAAAATTATCTTCTAATTCTACATTTCAATAACAAGAACAGAGTACAATTGGCAAAAAAATGTAAGTGCACTGAGTAGACTTAGTTTCGTGCCGCATATGACCAACGTAGTGAATGTAACTTATAGAAAGCTGGATTCATAGTTATAAATTCATTAAAATTCACTACATTAAAAATACTACCATTTTAGGTTTAGTTCAATAAAGATCTTTGGGGATTCAATAAATTTTTTTTTTTTGCTGATGACCTTGCCCTAGAAGTTACAAAACACATGTGATTCTTGTACATTTGCAACTACTATTCAATCAAATATATTAATTTTGTATTTTTTGAGAGCGGTGGTGTACAGGTATCAAGGGCATCAAAGAATAGTAGCTATATTCTGCGCTTGCCCGGAAAACGCATTTGCCCCGCCTTACCTTACTTTAGTAAAAGTTCTTGACATTTTCGGTATATTTCTTCAAAGTGAAGAATAATCGAATTAATATTCAATTGACACTTGCTAAGAAATTTTATTATTGCCAAAATGACAATAAGATAATAATTTGCCTTTCGTTTCAGTAAATATATTAAAAACATAACTCCCATTTTTATATATCTATAATGATAGTGTTACACTTTTTATTTAATAATCTCGTAAAATTATGGTTATATGTATATTATTTCCAGGTATTGCGCGAAGTGACTCGGTTGGTGGTGCGACCCCAAGAAGATCTGATAATAGCAAATAAACCCGATACTTATCATGTTACACCCCCACCATCGCTGCCACCTGCCAAGAGGGACGAGGATATGAAAAAAGTCTTGGTCCACACCACCCTGATACGTGATTCCAGAGGTTTGGGTTTCAGTATAGCGGGGGGCAAGGGCAGTCAGCCATTTAAGGTAATCATTTTTATTGCTGCCGCTCGCTGTTTAATTTTTGGCGACACATACTGGTCCTCATATAATTCCGCTTTTCTCACCACTCTAATCTTTCGAAAAAACAACATAAGTCGAATGAGCGTCATTGCCAGTTACCTTTATGCTGTCCACTGTTGTCACTGCAAATTTACATTTCATTACTTTCTGGGATTAAGAAACATACAACGCAAACTTAAATGAAACATTCAACTTGGATCTGGCGAGAACATTATACGCTGATATTTTGATGAGAAAATAACGAATCGTTTGTTTTTTTAGTCAAGTGCCAATAAACGAAAATAGTGACCTCTCTTTTTCAGGCCGATTCCGACGCAATTTTTGTCTCTCGCATAACCGATGGGGGTGTGGCGCATCGTGATGGTAAACTGGCCCTCGGCGATCGCGTTGTGTCGATCAACGGGGTCGAGTTAAGTGGCGCGTCTCATCAGCAGGCAGTCAATTTGCTGACAGGTCTGGAACGATTCGTTCGTCTCACAGTGGAACGCGACGTTCCCGTGGATGATCCTCTACCTCCAGGTGCCTCACCCTCTCCCGGACCCCAGCAAAGTCCCAAACTGTTTGGAGTCCCAAAACCGTATACTGGCTTGTATAATGCCAACAGTCAGGTGGCCAATAAGCAGGTACTTCCTGGGTACAGAAGATCGTCTGAATCAGACAGTAAAAAAGTAAGTGCCCAATATCACCAATTAGAGAAGAATTTTCATGTTCATGTCTCTCCATTAATCTATGGAAGATTCTTTGAAAAAAAAATTACCTGGGGTTATCGTGAAAAGTTTTTTTGACGTTTTCGTTCAATTTCCAGTGCGAATCTCTTGAACCAACCAAAATGTCGATGTGCCAACAACAACAAATTCCCCTTGCCGCTGGCAATCCTCCAGTGGCCCCCACAGCCAACGGCATTGATTCCGAAGCGACGACGCCGACGAGCCATCATCACGATCCCCCCAGACCCGCCCCCCGCCGGCTCGGCAGCACTGGCAGCGGCTCCTCGGGAACCGAACAACCGCCACCACCTCCCCGACAACACGTTAAAGCGACGACCACGTCTTCGATCGAAAGCAGCGACGAACAGGTATTGCCGAGGCCCATCACCAACGAAGATTTCCAGGCCATGATCCCCGCCCACTTCCTAAATAATAAAAATAACCCCCCCTCCGCCGCCGCGATCGACTCGACGTCGTCGGTGACTACCGTAACGATTCGCAAACCGGAAACGATGATCGAGCTGCCCCCGTCGCCGAAGGGCCCCGGTCGGGTGACGGAGACCATCACCAAAAGCACGTTTACGGAAACGGTTGTGACGCGCATCACAGACAATCAGTTGGTGGCTCCCCTAATCATTGAGGTATGCAGGGGAGCGAGTATGCATGCTCCTCCTCTCCTTTAACTTAGCGATCCCACATGTTGGGGTTAGTTGGTTTATGTTTGGGGCTAACGGTAGCCTGGAGTGCATGCTAGAATAACTTTGTTTCCCTTTTTTCTCGCATGAAAGCCCATTTAGCTAAACGACGAAATGCAAGTAAGTACCTTTGTTTTCCTCCTATATTTAAGGCAGCTGAATTATCAGCTTTGACGGTAGGTTTGAGTCCAATGGCAGGAATGATTGGTATGCGATCTACTTCCTCTACAACCTTCGGTGGGTCTTGGCTATTTGCAGGATCCTTTTTCATCTTTTTTCCGGTTCGTATTGTAATCCCATTGCTCCCAAGTCTGCCACGAAGTTTTCTCTCCATCTCATCCATGTAGATTTTGTTCCCAAACCATTCTGATCATCCGACGGTCTAATTTGATTTCTTTAACGATGTCTGGGTCCGTACTCGGATCTCTGCACGGCCCAAAGATTTTACGTAAACCCTTTCCGTCAAGACGCTTCAGTTTACTATCATTTTCTATTTTTGTTAATAAGAGCTTCCTTTAGCGCATCTCAGCCGCCTTAGATTCTTACCTTGATTTTATAGTACATACTATTTTCCTGGTTTCATTTTTCCCCAAGGTATTTAAAACTAGATAATCACTGAAATTTGTAGTTTCTGTTATAATATTTTGCCGACATGCATATATTTTGTTCAATTTTCATTTATCCTAAAACCCATTATTTCTGCCTGTATTGCAAATTTGATAAACAGTTTTTTCACTGTGAAAACCGTGTCTCTAACGCTAGGAGAATTCATGCAACAATTCAAACGGATCTGACAGCATTTTTCCGATTTTTTACTCTTCTATTGGGAACCTTTGACGCTTTTTTTTTTGCTATATACAGTTGGTAAAGTTTGTTGTTGTAACAAGGTGTGGCAAAACATTTTTTTTACTGGTCTATCTATCTAGTCAATGCCATCACTTCTTTCTTCCATGTCTCTCTGTCTTTTGCGATTTGCAACCATTCGGGGTTCCGCATGTTTATCTAAATCATCAGACCATCGCACCTCTGGTCTTCCTCTTTTCCGCGTGTAATTTCACGGTGTCCAGACCAGTCCAAGTTGACGCGCTGCTTCGATTGCACACAGCCAATTTACTAGCGGATACCAAAAAAGTGCACTAGCGGCGTGTAATCGACGTTTATCCGTATGTTCTGACCTATAAATTGCCTTGAGCAAATCAATTGATCCAAGTCTATTGCCATGTTATTTTCGACATGAGCTAAAGGGATGTATAAACTTATTGTTGGGAATAGTATAATTTCACTTAGAACTCTTCCAGAAGGTTAAGTAGGTTTTATCATTTATGAGAATTTAAAATTTACAGAACGCATTACTTGATGTCTGAAGAAGGTATTTTCCATGCTAACATTATTATACGCTCATCGTCATTCATTCTATTTAGTTTTCATTTTATTATCTTTCGACTTCTTATGAATTTATATATATAAACCTATAGCTTATCGATTGGCCGCGAGTACAGCACCAAGAAGTTATTCTTCTTCCTTTCCTCGCGGTATTAAATTCTTGAACTTAACTGGCCATCTATACCCGCCAGCGCCCTTAGGCGCATGCTCCACTAAAAATCACGGTGAAGCGCTAAATCGGTCGCTCTCATCGTGTGGTTCAAAAAGTGCCGTTGAACGCATCAGGTCATACGCGTGGTGATCAACAAATTTCCTCACCACTCGAGGCACAGAGAACGCAGCACGGGCCGGCCCCTCCGGAAGGAAGACCAAAAGCGAGGTAGGGTCAGTTAAGTAATTAAAAATCTTTTGATCCTGTCTTGAGTAATTTTTGCGACTTCTTGCTGTGCCAGCTGCGGCCAAAGTCCGTTTCCGCGCGGACAAAACATCTTTGGTCCTTACGAGCCCAATTAAAAAGAACTAACTTTTATCTTATTATTGTGCAATCAATATTCTCAATTTGAAATTCACGATTACGTGCTATGCTTTGCGAAAAATCTGTTTATTCCTTTACTTTTTTTGTGTATGAAGGCCATTAGCATCAACACAAAAAGATCAGTACGTTTTTTTTTTATATTTACAGATTCGCATTTGATTTCAATCGACTGGATCTCGGTTTCAAACATTGTTTCGTTTTAACGTTCAATATCGGAACGGCCAGAGTTTCAGGCGTATTTGTTTACTTTTTTGTCGAATTTCTTTCGGTCTAGTTGAAACTCGGAACAGTTTGGTTTTCATTTTTTTATTATCATTATTATTATTTGAGTAATATCGCTTTTCTCTCTGAATCTGCGTAGTGTTCGATAGGTTTTTATAATGGCAAAATCTTTAGGTCAGAATAAAGCCACTCGAGGTTTTTTTATAAGTCGTTTGACTGAAATTTATAATTGTTCTCAGACCTGTCTCACTGATTCTACTAAGTTAAATCAATTTAAAGCTCGTTACGAAGGAATTGAACACATTAGAAATAATTTTGAAGCTCATCATCATGCAATCATTGGGTCACAACAGATGACTGACAAGTCTCTGGAGGATGAAGACGAAATTCGTCGAGAATTTGTCGACAAATATTTCGTGATAAAATCTATATATATGGATTTGTTTCCTACAGCGACTCAAAGTCCTGTTGTCCCATCAAACCAAACAATTTTTAATGCTACCACTAACCAAAAAGTATATGAGGTTGATGTACCAATTTTCAGGGGCGATTACCGAGATTGGCCGACATTCATTGACTTGGTATTATTGGTATTGGTATTAAAGGGGGGCGCCCTCGCGGGCGTCCAAGCACTTAGGCCACCAGATGGGCCCGTTGTGCCCCCAGGCCGCTCTAGAGGGCGTCCAGAATGCCGCCCCTCCTGTAGAAGGTCAGCAACTCCTTTAGCCCAATACCGTGCACTGAGTCCGGATCGATCAGGGCCGTTCCAAAGACTCCCAATCTTGCCCATGTCAAGGCAGGGCACTCGGTGAGCAGATGATACGGGGTCTCCTCCCCTTCCATGCACCACTTACACTCCGGGTCGTCTCCAATGCCTAGCAAGCAGAGATGCCTCCTAAGCCTGCAATGTCCTGTGTAGGCCCCTGTTAGTGCTCTACACTCCCTCCTGGTCAGTCTAAGCAGCTCCCTCGTCCGAGGAAGGGCGGGCCCATCCATCATAAGCCTCGCCTGCCTCATTCCCGGAGCAACTCTCCAGCCCCCCGCGGCCCGGTCTCTCGCCCAGGCTTCGAGAGCTCCCCGCCTCACACACGGGGCGATCCCCAAGCGGGGCTCTGGCCCATTGACTTATATGATAGTTTAATTCATAATGTCGCGAACATGCCGGCAATTCAAAAATTCGGTTTTTTGGTCAAACATTGCCAGGGTGAACCCCTCAATTTATTAAAAACGTTGCGCATGACTGAGAGCAACTACCCCGTTGCTTATCAGGCATTGCGTGATAGATACCAGAACAAAAGGTTAATGGCCACTGAATTTTGGAACAACATACACAACGCTCCTAAAATGTCATCAGACGAACATTTAGTTTTGCGACGTTTAATCGACACATTTCAAGAAAACTTGGCGGCATTGAAAATTTTGGGGTTTCCCACTGTCGAGTGGAATTTTATTCTTCTCAATTTGCTTTTATCAAAAATTGATGTGCATTCAGCTAAGTCATTTGAGCTTGCGCACAGCAGTGTAGAGCTTCCTTCATACGACGATTTAATCAAATTTTTAGATAAAAATTGCAAGGCATTATCGTCCTTTGAACTTTCAAGTCCAGAAGACACCATTCGAACAAAATCAGTCAGAAACCAAAGCGAACGCAGTTTTAAATCTAAATTAAATCCTAAAGGTTTCTTAACGCAGGATAGTCCAAAATGTACATTAGGATGTCAGAGTAGACACTCGTTGATTAAATGTGCAGTTTTCAATTCGAAAACGCCTCGTGATCGTTACACCATCGTTAAGCAACATCGCTTGTGCACATTATGCCTCAATTTGCGGTGCAGCGCTAAAAAATGTTCGAGCAATACAGCTTGCCAATTTTGTCAAAGTCGGACACACCATACTTTGCTCCACTGGGGAGCCGATTCTCCTTCCAAAGGCACTTCGCCACAGACACCACATGACTCATCATGCGAACTTCCTCACTCCGTTGCATCTTCTGCATCGGTAGAGCTAAACTCACCTAAATCATATGCCTCTTCTTCGGCGAATATAACCGACTCAACCTTACTCGCTACCGCCCTCGTACAAGTGGCTGACAGACATGGCAACCTACACACTTGCGGAGCGCTGCTGCCGATCCAAGTTTCAAGACTCCTAGTGGAATCGACATTTTACTAGGTGCCTCCATATTTCCGTTACTCATGTTGGATGGCAAGATTATGCAATCTCCACATGATTCCATTGCCTTAAACACCATTTACGGCTGGATTATCATGGGAAATGTCAAATCATCTGGCAACTCTCGTTTACATCCACGCCATAGCTTCTTTACTTTATCAGATTCTCTTGAGAGAACCTTGTCCAAATTCTGGCAACTTGAAGAGGTTCCTCATACTGAACCTATGTCTGAGTCTGACAAGTTATGTGAGCGATTTTTTAACACTACTCACTATCGGGAATTGTCTGGGAGATTTATAGTATCTCTTCCCTTCAAAGCAGACGAGCCTGTTTTTTCGACTTCTAGGGATATTGCTCTGAAACAGTTCTATTCTTTAGAGCGACGGCTCTTAAAAGATGTTGATCTCTATGAAAAATACTCTGCTGTCATTCGTGAGTATCTAGACTCCAAACATATGAAAGTTGTTGCTCCTCCTGAAATTTCGACTGATACTCAAAAAATGTATTATCTACCCCACCATTCGGTTATGAAAGCTAGTGACCAAAGCGTGCGCGTAGTATTCAATGCGTCTTGTCCTACTCCACAAGGATCACTCAATCAGTTTCTTCTGTCAGGTCCTAAACTCCAAAAAGA